ACACACACAAAAAAGCAATAAAAATTTAAAAAAAAAACAAAAACTATACTATAAATCTTTAATTCTGGCACAGTTAAATTCTGATTTCTTTTTTATTAAACAAAGATTTCACAAATCAGAATGATATGCTAGAAATGTAAGAAACAATGAACTGCCTCTGACCTATAAATCTCCATTCTGTCATCTAAGAGAGAAACACTCAAACAAGTCACTTCCTTTTTCTCCATCTCAATTTCCTTATCTGTTAAGATCTATGGAGATGGTGGGCTGAAAGAAGTATTTTGAAGTACTAGCCCCTGGGCCCCCAAAAATGTGATTCTTTTTATAAATAGAGGTTTTTCTTTATTATGCTATGAGGAAATCCTAAAGTAGGGTTTTATATTTAGACATAATAGGTTTTTCATGAGCAGTTACTAGTGCTCATGCAGAGCCTATACCTAAACCAGGAGGCTGTTGTTCCAATAGAGCAAGGGAACATTGTTGTTGATTGATTGCCTTCGAGTAGAGCACAACTCGTAGTGACCCATGAACAAAAGGCTTGAAGCCCCTCTACAACGATTGACATTTATCAAAGTTCATAGAGTTTCTAGAATTATGTTATTTTGGAAGTGGATAAAATAAGGAAGGGGATGCATCAGGATTGTGTTCTCTCTCCATATCTATTCAGTCTGTATGCTGAGAAAATTATTCGAGAAGCTGAACTCTATGAAGAGGAATGTGGCGTCAGGATTGGAGGGAGACTCATCGACAACCTGCATTACGCAGATGACACAACCTTGCTTGTGAAAGGAGGAAGATCTGAGCACTTGTTGCAGAGGATCAAAGAATGCAGCCTTCAGTATGGATTGTGTCTCAATGTCATGAAAACAAACACTTCTACCACTGGGTCTGGAGGCAACATCACGAAAGATGCGTAAGAGATTGAACCTGCCAACAAATCCATCTTACTTTGATCCACAGTTCACATCCTCGGTAGCAGTAGTCAGGAAATCAGGAGACATATTGCACTAGGAGAGTCTGCCTTTAGCTAGAGATCTTTCCAAATGATTGAGTAATGATGTCAGTTTGAGGACTACGTTTGATTCAGGCCATGATTTTTCGGATCATTAGCTATGCATCTGAGAGCTGGACAATGAATAAAGATGGCAAAAGAAAAATTGATGCCTTCGAGAAAAATGGATGTTTGAGAAGAGTGCTGAACATTCCATGAACCGCCAAAAAACAAAAATGTCTTGGAAATGGTGCAGCTAGAGTGTTCTTTGTACACAAAGATGGTGAGGCTTTGACTCGCAGACTCCAGGACTGTTGCTAGGAGAGGCTATTTCTTGGAGAGGCACCTGATGCTCAGAAAGGCGGAGGGTCAGCGGAGAGGAAGACCCTCCTCCAGGTGGATTGACACGCTGCCTGGCACAAAGGGATCGAATTTGTCAGGAAATGAGAGGATGGTTCACCATAGGACAGGATTCAGATATGTTGTTCATAGGGTCGGTCGCTAGGGGGGGTTGTAATTGACTCAATAGCACCTAATACAACATTAGAAAAATTTAAAAAATAGAAATATTCGTTGGCTTGTACAATTTGATGGGTGAGGATAATTGAAAGAATTTGTTTGAATTTGTATTAGAATTTTGTAAATAAACTAATGAAAAGAAAAAAGTCAACTTGGGGAGGGGGAAGGAAGAGAGGGGTAAAATGTGCAACAATGAATGAATAATCTAACTTTTGTGTGAACTTTTGTTAAAATGACAATTAAAATAAAAAAATTTTATTTAAAAAAAAAATAGAAACAGATGTGTACAGTTGAAAACATCTCGTGATGATCCAGCTACAAGACTTGGAATTCTAACAAACACCCAGAGTTACTGAGATTAAGGGCTCTCTCATAGACCCAACGCCCTAGGTTCAACTACTAGTTTCCAAAAGTGTAAGAAAATGCATACCTATCTTTAAAAGCTATTCATTTATGGTATTTTCTGGTGGTCTTATAGACAGCAAAGGCATTGGTATTTGAGAGACTTAATAAAATCTTGGAGCTCTGGTGGCCTAGTGGTAAGAATCTACACTGCAAACCTGAAGGCACATGGTTCGAATCCACAAGCTGCTCCATAGGATGGGAAATCTCCTCCTGTGATTAACTGCCTTGAAAACCCACCAGAGGGTCAGCTATGGGTCAGTTCTGACTCAACAGTACATAACAACAACAATAAAGAAGAGTAAACACTTTTTATTCTTTCTCTGAACATGAACTCTCTGTGTGTGTGTAACCCATAGTAAAAAATATAACACGCAATTTTGTATCTATCACACATGACCTAAAATATTTGCATTTTCCACAATTAAAATACTTAAAAAGATGAATAAAAAAGTCAAAGATTAGTATAATTAATACTGTAAAACACAGAATCTTTAATTATTTATGTAAGATATTATTTTCATTTGGTGGATACCGTGCAATCCACCAGCCAAAAGATGAACAGTCTCCTCTCAAGTGATTTACAGCCTCAGAAACTGATTGGTGAATCAGCCATGAGCCAGTTCTGAATGTAGGACAATCAGAGTTTAGAGATGGATTAAAAAAAATTAATCACAGCTTCCTAAAGCCCAAAGAAGTTAAAGTTAACATGAATTCAACAATGGAGTACATTTTTGTGTGCTTTTGTCCGTTTGTTAGAAGTAAAGCCCTCTTTACCTCTGACTCAAAAGTTACTTCTGCTCAAAGATACCCTGGAGGCCTGCCGCATAGAATTTCCAAAGCTGTAAATCTTTACAGAAGCAGGCATCTAGTGAGTACCAATTACCAGTCTTTTGGTTAGCCATTGAGTATGTTTACAACTATACCATCAGGGCTTTTGTATTCAAAGTAGTCCTATGATATGACAATTCTCTTCATTACCATTCTCTTCAGTGGGCTTTCTTTAATGTATTTTAGAAGTAAGGGGATGGCGCGGGGTGGGGGGTGGAGGGGAATTGCTATAGGACTTTGTGTTTAAACCAGTTCAGATATTGGACATTTTGATTTTGAATCCTCATATTCATTTTATATAAACTAGGTGTCTGCTGCGACCGCTTAACTCGATTTTAACCACCGAGTGTATGAATCCTTGCTTAGCAGCAAAATGTTGCCTGGTCCTACACCAGCGTCTTAATCAATCGCCAGTGGACGTTTTTATGATCCACAGCCTTTTCCTTCGCTGATTGTCACAAGTGGAATGCCAGGGCTGTGTCCTAATCTGGATAAGTCTGGAAGTCCCACTGAAATCAGATCAGCACCACAGCAACAGGCGATGGCTACAGAGAAGGGTCACTTGCTGGGCCTGAGTCTCCCACACAGAACAATAATTCTATAACTGAATTATCAATCCCCCACCCAGTTAATTCATTGTTGTTGTTGTTGTTGTTGTTGTTGCTGGGTGCCATGGAGTATGACTCCTAATGACCCTGTGAACAACAGATTTGAATTCTGTGCTGCCTGTATCGTCCCCACTATCTCTGACACACTTGAGGCCATCGCTGCAGTCATTGTGTCAATCCACCTGGTTGAGGGTCTTCCTCTCTTTGGCCATTCCTCTACCTTGCCAAGTATGACATCTTTCTCCAAGTAATAATCTCTCCCAGCAACATGCCCAAAGTATGGAAGATGAAGCTTTATCATCTTTGAGTCTAAGGGCCACTCAGGCTGAACCTTCTCCAAGACACCTCCATTTGTTCTTTTGGCGGTCCATGGGGATACCCAGCACTCTTCACCACCAGAGTCCAAAGGCATATATTCTTCTTTTTCCATCCTTCTTTATTCTCTGTTTAGCTCTCAGATTCTTAGCAAATTAATAATTATTGTTACTGTTGTTGTGAGCTGTCAAGTTAGAACTCATAGCCGGTCCTCTAGCAGGTTTCCAGAGGTAGTAAATTGCATGGGAGGAGAGTGCCCATCTTTCTCCCATGGAGGAATTGGTGGATTTGAACCACTTGCCTTTGGGATTACAACACAGCTTCTTACCACCAGGCTCCTATAGCTCCCTAATTTAATATTAGTGACTGGGTCTTAAAAAGTTATTATTTTCTTCAAATATTGTTTTATATAGCCCAATCCTTGCTTCACAAGGAATCTAAAGGAAGAGATTTAGTCATTAAGCAAAATAGAAAAGGAAAAAAAAACACCAAGAGTCCAATTTTCTTAAACAAGTCAGACTAATATACTTTGCAAAAGAACCTAAAGAAAACAAAAGAATGAGTTTGAGAGAATTTGCTAAATGCTTTAATTAGGAAGCCTGAAATGTGACTAAATAAGATTAGAAGGATTCGAGTTGGGTTGACATTAAATAGATTATGCAACTACTTTCTCCTATCTCCTGAGAGATTTTAAGTGCAAAATTCACTTGAAGGAATTGTATGAAGCATAAATTTCAGGAAGAAAGAAATCATTCCTGCCAGTGTTCAGGGAATAGCATGGGCAAAACCTCCTGAGAACCAATTAATACAAGTTGCTAGACTCAAACATTTTGTGTGAAACATTTTCATCATCATTGGCTGTGGGACTTGGATAAGAGAAAGAGTGCTTGCCACACTGGGCAGCAAGATCCTGGTGAGACCATGGTGATGGTGGTGGGGTGACTGTGGCATTGCTGTGGAGAAAATTAGCAAGGTGCAACCAGAGGAGCCCCAAGATAAAGGCCACAGTTAAAGGTTTTGCTGTTCTTGCCTGATGATAGAAGGAGAAGCTGACTTAGAACTGTTCTGAGACAAACCATGCTGGATAATTTGGATTTAACTACTGAACTGAAACCAAGACTTTTCCCTAATTAAGCAAGTGTGTTTTGTTGTTAAACGGGCTTGGGACTGCCAGACTAAACCCTGGACTTGCATAGGCAAGATTCTTTGCCTCTCCCACTCTCCAGCTTACTTTCCTAATAAACCTCATTCTTGGTACCACCAAAAAATAAAGACTATAAAAACAAGAGTCAAAGGTGTCTTTTCCTAAGCATGAGACTGTTCAAGTTCAGTACCTTGTCTGACCCAATCTCCACAATGATGTTTATGCGCTAATACGTAGCAACACTTGTGATACCCAGAGAGCAGTTCTGTCCAGTTGATGGTCACTGTGCTATCTTCCCCTTCAAAAGCATTAGCAGGACGCTCAAACAAGGATATCAAGGCCGAGGTGAAACAAATCACGTAAACCTATGCCAGAGACATAAAAAATAAGTAAACACAAGAACCATCAATTTTCAATGAAATTCTTTGTTAAGATTAATGATGTTGTTCAAGCTGGCAGGGGGAGGGTGGAAGCAGATGGGTAAGGAGATGTGGGGGCATTAATTGTGAGGTTGTACATTTGTACAATTTGATGGGTGAGGGGTGAGGGAAATGAGAAGTTTCTGGTGTGGAAAACAACGCATTTGAAGTTTGTGCATAAATTAGTATTAAAAAATAAAAAGGTTACTCAGGTTGTAGCAATTGCAGCTTCCCTAAAGTGCAGAGTTTTTTTAATGTGTTTATTGTGAAATTGCCGTATGTGTTAATGAAAGAACTGGTTGCATCTGTCTGTTTACAAGTTTTACTATCCACCAGTCATTTGACCGACGTAGAAAGCAAATAAATATTTCCACCAAAATAAAAAAGAATGGAGGTGTAAGGTAAAGACAGGGAGCTCTGGTGGCCTACTGAGAAGGGAGTCGCACTGCCAGCCTGAAGGCACGTGGTTGGAATCCACCAGCTACTCAGAGAGAGATATCTACAATCTCTCCCATGTGATTTACAGCCTCAGAAAAACCTACTAAAGGGTCAGTCATGAGTAGATGCAACTTGACAGCAACGAGTTCGAGGGTTGGGTTTTTTTTAAATTTTTGTATTATTATTATTTTTGTGTGTATACTGTCAAATTGGATCTGACTGATACAGGACGAGATTGCCCCTCCTTCTCCAGCAGAGCATCTGGTAGATTGGAACCACGTACCTCTGGGATTGCAGTGCAGCTTCTTGCCACTAGGCCACCAGAGATCCCTTGAGGGTTATTTTTAATATAAGAATAGGATCATTAACTGAAATTTGAGCAATTTAAATCCACTGGCTGCTGCATCCCTCAACTTTAGAAGCCTAACAGAGGGTCATCAAGAATTGGCTTCGTGACACTGGGGTTTGTTCTTAGCCATTGACTTAAAATAGATTTTACAGTTTTATTTTTAAAATGCAAGTGAGATCTTAAAAGAAAGGGGAAAAGTTACAAGGTTGGCAAAACAGTTACCAAAGGCAGCTTAATAATGGATTTTAAACATACTGGTCACTAAAGACAGACATACAAGAATGTTGTCATAAATACAGAAGTCATTCAAATCAGACTACTTCAAAAGTCACAGGCGTAAGTTAGTGTCATTTACGTAAGCAGTATTTTGCTAATTCCCTGTAGTGAATTTGAGGAGACAGAAATTATTATCTGATATCTAGGTTTTAGCACAGTTCTGTCACACAATACAGGGCACGTTGATTCTGTGGGAGGTTGGTTCCAAAAAGTCCACATAAATGAATGGCCTTATAAATGGAAATCAGACAAATTAATTCAAAGAGTTATGAAGAAGTTTAAACACTTATTTTGAAGGGTTTCTTAATACTCTGATCTAGTACATTAAGCAGGGAACTCTGATTGTTTAGTCGGTAAGGAGTTGTGCTATCCACCCAAAGGCACTCAATTCAAATCTCTTCTGTGGGAAAAAGACAAGACAATCTCCTTCAGTGTGATTTACAGCCTCTGAAAATCTGCTGAAGGGTCAACTAGGAGTCAGTCCTGACAAGAAGGCATAAAACAACAATACATTAAGCATTTGATTGTAGAAAAGTTTGGCAATTTTTTTTTCTAAATGAGAAACAAGGACCATACATAACCAAAAATAGTACAATAAGACTTTTTTTTTCTTAATACCCAATCCTCCCCTTCCTTGTTTAGAATGTGTGAGTTTGTAAACTATAATGTAGTTCAGTTAAGAAGCTCCAGTGATTACATTTTAATGTTTGTCTTGAACTCCAGTTTGTTGATTAAATTCACTGCATTTAGCCTTTGCCAACTCTCACGTACCTTTCCAGTTAGGTCTCCAAAAGAAAGAATTGACTCATTGGCATCAAGAGGGTCATACCAATAATCCATGCAAATTGGTGTTGCTTTCAGGCCTTGGAGTTTGTATTGACAAGGAAATTCTTCTTTAGACAGCAGATCATAGAAACAAATCTCTTTACTGGTAAAAGCCACTGCTATCTAAAGTAGCAGAGTAAAATAGAAAATTAGAAAACATCTCTGACGGATTAAGGATTCAATATGCAAAGTGGACATGCAACATTTATCATCAGCTCTGACTTCGTAGCAGGCTTTATTGGGAGGAAGGAAAAAGAAAGAGAATGATGGTAACCCACACCCACACAATAGAGCTTAAAGTAATTAAGAAATAATGTCCAAAGCTCTTTTCTCTGAGGGCTCTTAACAATATCACAGAAGCGTAATATAGTGGTACAAATGTGTTTATTCTAACTTTGGTCTCTAGCCAAGAAGAAACATTTCCTGGTAAATTCACTCAAATATGGTTTGTTTGGTTGTTTGGTGTATGTGTTTTTTTTCCCTATCACCACTCAACACACCTACCACTGCTTCCACCCATAAAAGAGTAGGAGGCATTCAGGAAGGACAAGGCCCACAGCTACACCAGACACAGAAACTTTACAAAGTCCTTTGAAGCAAGCAGAGGCTTTCACAGAATAAAACGGATAAACAAACATTCTTTAAGTAGACTTCCTAAACAAACAAATCCTAGAAGTTATATAAAAGAGTAAATTATTTGACAGCATAAAAATATTCTTTTATAAAGACAGCTTGCATAAACTTGAGACAGTCGATGAGCAAGGCAGGGATATTTGATGCATGTAAAATAGGCAAACAATTGTTTATCTAAATACAGATAATCCTCATTCTAACAAATAGGAAATAATACATGAGCTAAAAATGTGATAGGAAATGCACAGAAAATACAAATAGCAATCTACCATTTAAAAACTACTCAATATATTAAGTGATGGAGATTTTTTTAATTTTGTTGTTTGTTAGCATAATAAGGATATATTGTCCACATCATTTTAACAATGAATTTAAATACAGACCTACTCGGCTTTAATAAAAGTTTGAGTATATACACATAAACAGTCATTACTACCTATTAGAAGTGTAGATGTGCATTTCTCAAAAAAAAAATATGTAAATATACGTTGTTGTTTACCAGCAAGTCAGAACCAACTGATAGCCAACCCTGAAGCCAGTGTTCTGAGACCGTTCATCCCTGCCGGAGAAGCTAGCCCATCTTTCTCCTGCCCAGCAGCTGGTGGACGCAGTGAGACTTAATAAATCCATCTACAGAGATTTATCCTTGGTGAGGTCGCGTATGTATGTGCAAATGGTCAAATGATATGACATGTACATATAAAATATTCAGCACTGTTGATCACAAAATATAACGGGAAATTTTGAATATGTTAATATATCATTACTATAATACACCATTTTGTAAGGTTTAAAAATTTTAAAAGAATAAAAATTTTATATACTTAAATATGTTCATAAAATATATATCCTTATTGAGAAACATAATTAAAATGTTCATACAATTTTCATATAAATCACATATCTGCATAAGTATATGTATTTATGTGTGTGTGTGTGTATAGTATGTCTTGGTCCATAAAAAGTTCTAGAAAGATATCAAAACAAATATTCAAAAATGTTTATAGCTACAAAAAAGCATAGATATGAGAAAATGGTAGGAAAGGATGAGGGGTTTTTATTCTATATATGTCAATCCTATTGAAAATGTGGTCCATTATGCAGCTATATATTACTTGTTTAAACAAAATTAAAGGAAAATAATTTTTAAAAGACATCATAGACTAGTTTTAATAAGCTTAATACTATTCAAGTCATATCTATCATAACTATAGTCATTTCTCAAGTTCATAGAGTTTCCAGAGGTATGTGGTTTAGGAAGTGGATGCCACTCCTGCTTTCAAACCTGTTTTACAGCTGGGAGCTCCACCAAATGCTGTCCACATTGGGAAACCATTCTGGTATTTGATACCCCAGTGGTACAAAGTTCAGCATCACAGCAAACCCAGATTACCTCAGACAGCACACTGACAAAGAGTGATGAACAAAGTGGAAGAATGTTCCTCCCGCTATAATAGCACTAGTTTCACATAGCAGTGGTTAAGTGTCATCAAGTTGAATACAACTGAGAGTAAACTTTGCACAAAAGACCTGAACTTTGTTCTATAACTAACATCATTTCTGTAGAGAACTCTGTTCTACAACTACCAATGTTTCTGTACATTTACAGATAAAAATATAGAAAATAAAAAATAGTATGCTGTTAAACTCTGCCTTTAGATTCAAGTGATGAATCCATTTACATGTAATGTTATTAGTGATAATGTAATCTCTTATGTGATTTCCTACCTCCAAACACCCACTTGGTGGTCAGCTATAAGTCACTTGACAGCACATTAAAATAGAAACAATATTCTTTTTCTAACTACAGAGCACAACACACATGGGGCCAATGTAAAGAATGAAAGGAGAAAATCCAGTTGAATAACACTCCATCTTCAGTAATAAATAGAAAGATTAGTTTGAATATCAGCCAAAGAATAGAAGATTTGGAGCTGAAGAATAGCAAAGGTCATTTTAGGCTCCCATATGGATTATATCTCATCTCACAACTGGACCAAGAGGCAACATCATGATAATGGAGATAATATTGAACGTATCAAGGATGCCTTTTACTTGGATTTAGCATTAGCGTCCATGGAAGCAGCAGTCAAGAAATCAAATGACTTATTAACTGGGAAAATATGTTTTTAAGGACCTCTTCAAACTGCTAAAGAATAGGATGTTTCTTTGAAGAATAAAGTGTATAATGACCCAAGTCCTATTCTTTTCAATTGCTTAATAGGCATAGGAAAGCTGAAAAAGGAAGACCAAAATAGGATTTGAATTGTGGCCTTTGGTTATTAGTGAAAAATATTGACTATACAACGAACTTCCCAAAGAGCAAACAAGTCTTCCTTTGAAGACGTGTAGAGTGCTCTGTAGAAACAAGATCTATCATCTCATACACTTTACGTACATTCTCAGGAGAGGTCAGTCTTTGAAAAAGGACATCGTGTTTGGAAAAGTCAAGTCAGTGAAGGAGAGAAGACACTCACCCAGATGGATTTAGACAGTGACTATAACAATGGATTTAAGCACAGCATAGATTGTGGAGATGGTGCAGGATCAGACAAAGTTTGTTACGTTGTACTATTAGACTTAGTCAACTCTATGGCTCCTAAGATCGACAACACAGAACTAAGTCTAACGGACATCGATAAAATTTTTCTCCAACAAGAGAATTCGCTTTCTTCTCAAATGCATATGAAACACTCCTCAGCATAGACTAGTTACTGGGTAATAAAACATATTTCACTAAATTAGTTAATTCATGTGTTTAACGTACTATTCTGTTTATTAAAAAAAATTAGTTACTGTTGTTTGAACTAACACAATGGAATGAGATTAAAAATCACTATCGGGAGGAAATTTTGGAAATGAACAAATAGATGGAACTTAATACACACCTGAATAGCCAATGAATCAAAGAAGAAATCATAAGGGAAATTAGAAAATACTTTGACATGAAGGAAATCAAGTCAGTCAGCAAAATACATCTAACACTAGCAGAGCAAATTCAATAAGCCATTTAAAAAGTCTTATGATCAATTAAAATAGGTTTCAGAAATAAAAACTAATTCAACATTTGGAAATCCATTAATATAATCCATCATATCTATAGATTCCAAGCAAAACAAAATAATACAATCAAAATCCAGAACCTTGCCATGAAGAGAAAGATTCTATACATATTTCCCCCTGCCCTGAGATCAGGGGAAAAGACAGGATACCTGCTCTCCCCACTTTTATCCAATATTGTATTGAAGGTGCTCACAGACCAATTATAAGCAAAAGAAATAAGTGGCATCCTGATTGGAAAGGAACAAGTAAAACTATAATAAAAGTTATTATGATCTTGTACATAGTGAGGTCTGGTGGCTTTAGAGGTAAAGAATTAACCTGCCTATGTAAAAGTATATAGTTCCTATGCGCCAGCTGTTCTGTGGGAGAAAGATGGGCATCTCGCATGGAATTTATTGCCTCTGAAACTGGTTGGAGGGTCAGCTAGAGGTCCTTTCCAGCTTGATGGCACAAAACTGAATGTTCAGGAAGTTCTGGCAGCAGTCGGTAGAGTTGTGCTGCCAAGTCTAAACCAACTCTTCAAATCCACCATTTCCTTCTCAAAAAAAAGACAAGCACCCTCTTCTCATACTATTTACAGACCCTAAAAATCCTCTTCAGGGTCTGCTACAAGTTACTTCCTACTCAACTGAAATAAGTTTGAGAATAAGTATACAAAAAATTAAAACTCATAAATTCCTTAAATGATGCTAATAGATAATTATACAAGATCATGGTCTATCTAAAAATTGCTTTTCTCTACACTGGCAATGAACTATTATCAAAGTTAAATGATGAAAAATATTTTCAAGAGAATGAAAAGACAAAACACAGACTAGGACACAGTATCTGTCAAATAATTATTTGATAAATATTTATGCCCAGAATATATTTTTTTCAAATGGACAAAAATTTAAATATACAGCTTACCAAAGGAGATGGACAGGTAGCAAGGCAGTACACAGGAAAGATGAATAGTATTAGGCATATGCAAATAATTTGCAAAATTCAAATTAATACTACAGCAAGATAGCAAAACACATCTGTTAAAATAGATAAAATTAACACAAAAAAGAAACTAATCAACTAATCATACCAAGTGTTACTCAGGATATGTTATATCCATGCATGCATAGCATGAATAAATACTACACTAAAACTAAAAAATGAATTCTTTGTATTTTTAATGGCATAAATGAATCCCAAAATAATCTTTCTACATTAAGCCAGACAAAGGAATATATATTGGATGATGCCAACTGTATAAAACTCTTGAATATGCAAAATTATTTATAGTGGTAGAAAGTAGCTACCAGAACAGAGATGTGGAGAGGAAAGATGGGAGAGATGATAAAAGGCTACAAGGACATTTTTTAGGGTGATGAATAGTTTTAATATATTAAATGTGGTTTTGCACAGGTACATACATACATGAAAATTTAAAAAAATGGACAATGTAAATGTCTGCCATTTATTTTGTGTCACTATACAATAAAAACATTTGAATGAAAAAAAAAAAGGCAACCTTACTTAAGTAAATGTAAAGAAAAAGTGAAGGCTTAGTCCTAAATTCTGTAAAGAAAAACCAAAGGGCAAAGCACAGATATGACACAGAAATAACAATACACTGATGATAAAAATAAAAAAAATAATTTATGCACACAAGTTAGGCATTATTTCTAAGTTTGTAGGAACTGGAAATAGTGCCAACAGTCATTGTGAAGGATGCAGAGGTTCTGAAGCAGAGATTCTGAAGTCACACTTATTCAACTTACAGATCCTTGTCACCATTGGTTACATATTGTGATCTGGGGTATATTACTCCATTTCACCTGACCTGGTCTCTTCTTTCTTAAAATGATGTAATGATATTTAGAAGATTAAAAGAACAGACTTTACCACAGAGGAAGCTAATGATAATAATTATTATTCCTTATGGTTCCAGGTGGCAAAGTATAATATTTCCCACTTAAAAATATATATTAAAAAACCCTAATGTAGAAACAACAACAATGTTTTGCAATATGAAGATTATATGATAGTATAATTAGAAACCCCTAAAGACTCAGCAAGAAAACTACTGGACGTAGCTGACCAATTCAGCAAAGTGGCAGGATACAAGAACAACATACAAAAATCAATTTTATTTCTCTACAGTGACAAAGAGAATACAGAGCTGGAGCTAAGAAAATAATACCCTTCACAATAGGTAATCACAAGATTAAATACTTAACAGTAAATCCAACTACAACACAAAGGATCTACTCAAAGAAAATTACACATTACTATAAGAAACAAGAAGAGATCTGGAGAAATCAAAGAATATACCTTGGTCTTGGTAGGAAGATGTAATTTTGTAAAAATGACAATACAACCAAAGGCAATGTACACATTCAATGCAATCCCAATACAAATATCAATTCCATTCTTCAATGAGATAGAAAACGCAATCTCCAATTTTATTTGGAATGGAAAGAAACTCAAAATAAGCAAAGCACTCCTCAAAAAAGAGAAACAAGGTAGGAGGCATCTCGGTCCCCGATTTAAAATCCTACTACACTGTCATATTAGTCAAGACAGCATGGTACTGGTACAATGTCAGACACATAGCTCAATGGAATAGAATTGAGAACCCAGAAATCAAGCCATCTACCTATGGTCAACTGATTTTTGACAAGGAGATGAAATCAGTTAAGTGGGGAAACAACAGCCTTTTTAACAAATGGTGTTGGCAAAATTGGAAAACCATCCGCAGAAAACTCAAGCAAGACCCACACCTCACAAAAAACTAACTCAAAGTGCATCAGGGACCTAGGACTAAAGCCAAGGACTATAAACTTCATTAGAGAAAAGCTTGGAGGAGCACTAATCCACAACTTCAACAGTCTTCCAAGCATTCTGAAAAATCTACAACCAACAAGGAGAGGATGAAATAAGATGAATGGGACCTTCTAAGACTCAAATCTAAAAACTTCTCCAACAGGGTAAAAAGGGAAGCCACAGACTGGGAAAAAGTATTTGGTAATGGCATGTCTGATAAGAGATATATCCAGAACTTATAGGATACATGAGTGTCACAACAAGATTAAAGTAAACAACCCAGTTGAAAAATGGGCACAGGATATGAACAGACACTTCACCAAGGATGACATTCAGATGGCCAACAAACACATTTTAATAAATGTTCAAAATCCCTAGCTCTAAGAGAGATGCAAATTAAAACAACTATGAGATATCATCTTGCCCCAGTAAGAACAGCAAAACTCAACAGAGCAGCAAACAACAAAAGCTGTCAAGGTTGTGGAGGAACTGGAACCTTTATTCACTGTTGATGGGAGTGTAAAATGGTGCATCCATTGTTGGAAGGCAGTATTGGCTTTCTCAAAAAGTTGGAAATAAAAATATCATTTGACCCAGAAATTCCACTACTGGGAATATCTTCTAAAGAAACTAGAATTTCCACCCAAGCAGGTATCTGCACAACCATGACTATTGCTGCTTTGTTCACAATAGTAAAGATTTGGAAACAACTCAAGGGACCATCAACAAACAAATGGATAGAGCAGCTCTAGTATAGTCAAACAATAGAATACTATGCAGTACTGAAAAACAAGGAACTCATGAAATATTATACAAAATGGGTGACCCTGGAGGATATTATGATTAGTGAAATATCTCAGTCACAAAAGAACAGATACTGCATAAAGCCACTGTTCTAAAACAAGACTGATGTCAGGGTTGGGGGCAAACTGAGAAGAGAGGGGATAAATAATGTACACTGCATTGAAACAAATGAGGAAGAAAACTGTTTAAAAGGAATATAGAATTTGGTATTATTTGCATGGCAAGAGTCCAGAATAAAAGCTGCATATTAAAGTGGACTGGGGGAGTGGGAGCTGGGGGGGATTGTATAACAATGAAAGAATTTTTTTTTCTTATCAAAGAGAAAAGTGAACTGGGGGAAGTGGTGGGCAGGGAGGAAAATGAGCACCAATGAATGAATGGAAATCCAAGTTGTCTATAAAGTTTCATGAAAATCTCAATTAAAAATTAAAAAACAAATCCCACAACTTCTGCAACCAGTGTTGGGCCCAGCCAGTAATTAGTATCAATAGGTGCAGCAGAGTGAGGGTTCATGTTTAACCTTATAGGGACAAGTTTTGTACCACGGATGTTTTTAGTGGGGGCACTTCTCCTTTGTAGAACTAGTAGAGATCAGACTCAGTCTCTATGCAGCCTTTGTACCAATAGAGTTGGGAAACAAAGGTTCCAAAGCCTGCAAGTATTGTGGCCCAAAATCTCGGAAGCTGGCTAAAGTTACTTTCCACTCTCCAAAGATGAGACTTCTTTAGAATGGGATAATAACCCAGTGGATTGAAATCAAATATATTTAAGTCCATGAGTTTGTAATGATAAGAGTAATTGTTCTTACTGTTCATCTTTAGAGAGTATTAGCAAATCAATCCAGAAGTTTAAAACTCATAAATTAAAGATCTTGGCATTTATCTTGCCATGTTATGTAATTGGTACTTCAGGATAGTTAAATATTTGAAAAGTATTCTATACAGGTATTCTTGCTTTTAAAGGAAGAGGAGACTGAAGAAATTATAATGTCATAATCTTGCAACCAATAGTGAACAAGTGGATCTGAGTATAACCAGGAGCCACTGGTCACACTGCAAAATAGAGAGATTTAGGCATTTTATACCTTTGGTGGAAGAACACACAACCACCTACTCAGAATATATAAGAAAGAAAATCTGGGAATAGATGAATCCATTAAACAAACTCATATACAGGCAGTCTATAGAATCTAGAGTGTGAGGAAACTGTTGAGAAAACTTTCAATTTAGTATTGGTGTTAATTTCTAAAAATAACATCAATTGCAAAAGCAAAATACAAGAAGACGACTTAATAAGTAGAACAATACTTTTGGAACAAGAGACATAAACCATTCACAATGATTGGACCTTATTCAAACCCTGATTCAAACAACTTAGAAATTCTAAGATCATCATAAATATGTTAATATAATTTCATATGTGACACTAGGGATGTTATAAGAGAATTATTATTAGTTTATGGTTTTTAAAAATCTTTAAGAAGTACTCAAGTATTTCCATATGAAATTCTTTGATGCTCTGGAATTTAAAAAGGGGGAAATATTCATGAAACAAGTTTGATCCTGAATGCGAAACGATCAAAGTTTGGGTGCACTGGATACATCAGATTGGTAATATTACTTTGGAAATTTTTCAGAATAAAAATTTACCTTCTGTGTAATATAAAATTTCAATAATAAGGGTATTTACTTAAGTGATGTTTTCCCCATAAAATTATTTTACTTTCAGTAAACTCTGAGAAAAGAATAGTTACATGAAAATATCTGCACTGAGTGGGTGCACCCTCTGTAGCACTAAGAGCAGGTTTAATGCAGTGATCAAAATCTATTAAGTTGTACCCTTAATTGCATTGATCTGTGCTATGTACTGTAATAGCCTCTTATCTCTGCATATAGATCCATGATCGCGCTGCAAAAACAGAGTGGCAAAGGTCTGATTAGCTGGTAATACGGAAGGACCACATTTGGGACAGAACCAAGAATCTGAATCATTACCCGCAGAGTCGTTTAGAAACAACGCAAGAGGATCCCTGGGGCAATGGAGTAGCTTACTTGGCTCACCTTGCAACCCCTGTGAGTCGGCATGAGTGATACTGTGCTCTGTCACTGACAGACCTCACCTTGTGCATTGATCAGGAGTCCTGCCGCACCATGCCACCCCCTTTCACGAGCAGTAAATATATTCAGAAAGACTTTGTACCTTGTTCACATTTTCCAGAGAAACAAGACTTGTCACCCACAGATGTTTGAGCTTGGTGGCATCTGAAGTGACAGGAAGCATTTCTTGCAGCTTTAAATTGTCTCCCCAGATTCCTAAGAAACCTTCTTTGCTGATAGTCAGATAACGATTGGAACTTTTTAAGAAAATAATTTTTTGGATGGTGTCCTTGTGTTTCACTGGGAGGAATTCCAGAGCCTTCCACTGGGGAACCACAGTGGCCTTGGCGCGTTCATCTTTTTCATAGAGCGCTAAAAGTATAAATGAGGTCAGCTTGTCCCAATTAATGAAGCCATCTCGGGCCACATCCACTTTGTCAAAGAGCTTCTGATAGTCTTCCTGTGTGCCCCAACCAATAATCTCTTTCATCCTCTCCACAAATTCTTCTCTGGACATAGCAATGGTTTGGTCTGGTTCTGTGGGCTTCAAATAAGAACAAAATAAAATAAAAAAAACAAACATGTGTCAATGAATGCCATGCACAAGAACACTGTACCACACTCAATAGTGGCCCCATTTGGCTCCAATTCTATCAAAATGCAGAGAGGAAAACATGTCTTTGACTTCCTATTAACATTATTGTTGTTGTTGTTATGTGCCATCGAGTCCCTTGAGACTCATAGCGACCCTAGGTACAACAGCCCTAAACTCTGCTCTGTCCTGTGCCAATCGCACTGTCTCCAACACTCCCATCCCGATTACCTCAGTCACTGAATCAATCCACCTCATAGAGGGTCTTCCTCTCCTGCGCCGTCCCTCCACCCTCCCAAGTATGATGTCCCTCTCCAAGGACCGGTCCCTCCTTACAACATGTCCAAAGTATGTTAGACGGAGCCTCAGAATCCTTACCTCCCAGGGACAGCCTGGTTTAACACTCTCTGGGATGACTCTGTTTTCTTGGCAGTCCATGGTACCCTCAATACTCTTCTCCAGCACCACAGCTCAACGGCATCAATTCTTTTTCTATCCTCCTTGGTCATTGTCCAACTCTCTGATGCATAACAAGTGATTGCAAAGACCATGGTCTGTATCAGACACACCTTAGTCTCCAGAGAGACACCATTGCTCTTCAGTACTTTGGAGAGGTCCCTAACAGCAGACTTTCCCATCACAATATGTCTTTTAATTTCCTGGCTGCTGGCACCAAGAATGTTGACTGTGGAGCCAAGCAAACTAAAGCTGTGAACAATCTCAATCTCAGCACCATCCATCCTGATGCTGCCAATTGGTCCAGTGGTGAGAATCTTTGTCTTCTTGATATTGAGCCTCAATCCATATTGTAGGCTGCAGTCCTTGACCTTCTTCAGCAAGTGCTTCAGGGTCTCCTCAGTTTCAGCAAACAGGGTTGTGTCATCTACATAATGCAGACTGTTGATAGATCAATCTATTAACAGACTTCATTATACTAGGAGCAATAGAAAGTGAGAGGACTGAATACCAACATCCCCAATGACTGTCAATGCTGTTGTTATTGATTGCCTTTGAGTCAAGCACCACTCATAGTGACTCTATGAATAAAAGACCTGAAGCCCCTCTACAACTACTGACATTTATCACATTTCATAGAGTTTCTAGAGGCATGTTGATTAGGAAGTGGATGCCACTCCTGCTTCCAAACCTGTCCTAGAATGTTATTGGTTAAGTCACCTGCAATGCATAGTGACATTATGTACAGCAAGTCTGAACCCTGCCCTGTCCTGAGCCAGTCTCACAACTCTGACACACCAACCCCCATCGCCCCAGTCACTGTATCAATCCATCTCATCCAGGGTCTTCCTCTCCTGCGCCGTCTGTCCATCCTTCCGAGCATGATGTCCTTCTCCAAGGACTGATTTCTCCTGGCCACGTGCCCAAATAAGTGAGGCGGAGCTTCAAAATCCCAGCCTCCAAGGAGAACCTTGGTTTCACCTTCTCCAAGACAGACCTGTTCATTTTCTTGGCAGTTCCTGGCATGTTCAAGACTCTTCTCCAGCACCACAATTCAAATACAATAATCTTCAAAACCACAGAGATGCCTGGGCTGGTTCCTAGCACCACTGCACTAATAGAAACACATGAGTTTCATAGTGATTATAGAAGGCAAACAAATGACTCCTCCAGAGACATCTATGTCCTGATCATAGAACCCTTGAATATGTTACTTTACTTGTTAAAAAGGGTTAAATGTTATTAGATTAAATCTCTTGGTTTAGAAGATTATTCTAGATTATCAAGTAGGCTTATGTCCTAATAATTAGGGTCTTTGGAGGGAAGAAAGAGGAGTCAGGAGAGGTGGGGAAGAGATCTAAAAACAGACGTAAAAGTGATGTAGGCTCAAGAGCTGAGGGGTGCTGGAAGCGTCTATGTTTTAATAGACAAGGAAGCGGTTTCCCCAAGAGCCTCGGAGAAATCACAACCCTGACACATCTTGGTTTTAGTCCTAGAAGGCCCATTAAGACTTCTAACATCCAAAATAGTAAGATCATCACCTTATGTTTTTTAAAACCATTGAATTTGCACTACTTTGTTACAGCAGTAAATGGAAAATAATATAGTGATTTAGAGAAAATAGATGGATGCTCAAAATGAGATTAGGCGAGCGGATCAAGTTATACCCATTGCAATTAATCCAAGAACAAGATACCTTTTATTGAGACACTAATACAGAGACAACATATTCACCCATAAAACACAGCTTATTTGATCAACTCTTTAGCTCGGCGAGATTTATGTTTTTCTACCACCTCAAAGTAGAGTCAAGATTGCTAGCACAAATTGAGAGGCAGAAAATGACAGAGAATTAAAAATGTAGGTTTAATCTTGGTTGCACCAATAGTTGTGTAAATCAAAAACGAATTCTTTTTAAGGTGTGGTTTCCCCCATCTGTAAAATGGGGATAGGAATCTCAGTCATAAGATTTGTTATAAAGGTTGAGATATGATTTGTCCAGTGATTCAGTGATTAGACATTTAATAGCTGGTTTTTGTTGTGTGCAATCAAATTGTGAGTTTTCAGAGACAGTCAATTGCAAGAGAGGAGTTTTCTCATCCTTCTCCAGAAAAGCAAGTCATGGATTTGAACTTCTGACATCACCTTTTAGGATTACAGTGCAGCTTCTTACCACCGGGTCACCAGAGCTGCTTATAAGTAATTAAATTTCCAAGAAATAATTTCTATCTAGCCCTCTCAACTACTCAAAAGGTTCATCAATTTTATCTTTGTTACTTTGCCTCTAAATGTTTAGGTAGATGGAAAATTTTCAGTGACCTACATTTTAAATTTTTGCAAAGAAATGGACTTCATCTAAGACCAAACTGCAAATTTTGTTTGCAAACCTAACAGTAGGGTGAATCTTTTCTAACTACATACAATCATGCCCTTAATAGAACATTTTAAAACACAATTGTGCCATATTTTCTTTTACTACTGTGATAATTCCTCTTTATTTCTAAGGCATTTTCTGACATTTTGTAGAAGGGTTTTTTTCCATTTGAGAATGTGGGATCACAAATAGCTTATGAGCACATTTTCTTCTCTGAAAGTAATTTAAATAAACTACAAAAAGTCTCTGCTCACTCTTAATGCTAATATTTACCAGCAGAATAAATGAGGAATCCAACAAATTTACAAAATTTGATCAAAAAAGTCTAATTATACGATATCCCTGACAGTTTCATTATGGGTCGCTCACTCATTATTTTTCTGGTTAAGTTTGAGGACAAAATCATGTTTTGCTACACTTTCTATTAAAATTTTGGAGTTCAACCTTAACTAAAAGAAACCAACCTCATTTTAATAATCATTATGCTTTGATCAATATATGTCCATATGTATTAATTTTATTATAAGCAAACTCGAATATATTAGTTAAATGCACAATTAAAATACATGATTTTGTTACAAGCTTAAAAGCACAAATGCATTCTCTTTTATTAATTCTCATTTTATCAGGGTTCTCCTTTGTCCTAGGGTTAATTAATTCACGCTATCACGCGATACATATTACAGACTGTGTTAGAGAGCTAAATGGTAGTGCAGCTGGAACTCTAAGCCATAACCCTGGTTATTTCAACTCCAAGTATGAATAATAAAATATGACTGTCAGTATTGTTATTATAACTAATAAGTAAATGTGCATATAGCATAAGGGATAAATTGACATATGTACAGTATATTTTTACTCAATGTTTATTTCTTGCTAAGTGATTTCAAGATTATAAAGTCTACAAATCAAGTCACTTAATAGACAACTATTCTCTGCAGATTCAGATAAATTAATTGGTGGGGGGGAGGAATTCTAAGACTATGCATAATTATTAATTTTCAGAACTTGCTTTTACATACCAGGAATGGATAATTAAGTAATTCCAAGAGAATTCTCAGAGTTAGGAAGATGTGAGTAGAAGATTCTACAACCAGGTTCAGCTGAACAGTCATTGCCACTATGATTAGCAGCTCTTCATTTCCAGTGTACAATGTAACAGTGACTGTGCATGTTGATGTATTTAGGATTGGGTTTTGTTTTTTTTTTTTTTCATCAGTGGCCCAGATAGGCAACTCTTCAAAGTAAGCCTGGTGACAGTGAAATTTCCCTGTCCCCCAAAACACCTTGATTTCATATGCACAATATTGGCATGAATCAGAGTGAGTAACTAACTGGTTTCCATCCTGCTTTGATCCATTTTATTGCCTCTCTCTGAATATGTGTAGAGTCAGACATCTTCATTCCAGACTTCTTAGCAAATTATAAATTCACAAGAAAAGAAGTTTATTCTTTAATTTAAAGATTTTACATATTATCCTTTGTTGTTGTTGATTGCCGATGAGTTCAGCATGACTCATAGAAACCCTACGAACAAAAGGCTTAATATTTTCTATAACTATTATTGTTTTTCCAAGTTCATAGAATTTCCAGAGGCATGTGCTTTAGGGAGTGGATGCCACTCCTACTTCCCAACCTAAATCAATCTGGGAGCTCCACCCAACACTGCTCACAATGGGTAGCCTTTATGGTGTTTGGCACACCTATGGCATTTGAGAGCCCAATGGCACAAGGTTGAGTCACTGCAAATCCAGATTACCTCAGCACAGCAAATTGACCAAAGTGCTATATGACATAGTTCCTCCAACTATAGTAACAAGGCATTAAAACATAATCCCTCAGGTACAACTTATAAATATAAAGGTCCTCTAGGAGGTGTTATTGACTCTAAACAAGAGGCTTAAATAAAAACAACCACACAATCCACACAGATCCACAACCAGAAACAAGAGCCCCGATTTACAGAGTCCAGCTGTTTCATCCAAAAATTATACGTCAGACAAGGGACTTATGTCTAGAATTCATAAAATACTCGAACAAAACAAGAAGATAAAGGTAAATAACCCAGTTGAAAAATGGGCGCAGGATATAAACAGACACTTCACCAAAGAAGACATTCAGA